GCTAGTTTCAATTTTGCTCAAACATTGAGTAATTTTGAAAATTATCTGAGTTAGAGATGGGGGTCACCAGTGAGTTGGTCAACAGGATAAAAAGTCAGCTCCAGGCTCTGGTAGTATGTACAGTCTTGCATCTTAGGAAAACTGTTTAGTTATGGTATCAGTAATTGACAAAAAGCATACCTTGGGGAGCAACTTCTGCATTCACATTCTTTTCTTAGCTAATCTCTTATCACTTTTATCAGCTTTTGTCTTTGTTCCAGCTTGATTGTTTTTGTCATTGTAATTAGCACTTGAGCCATCCAGCTTTTATTTGCCTCTTTTTGTTTTGTGGAGGAAATATCTTGTGGCATTTCCTCCATGGCCTGCTTCTTGCCCTCTTCTTTTGTAACCACTGAAGGTTGCCACTTATCACTCTGCATATACCCACTAGACATAATGGTGCTCTCTGTGCCACCTCTGTCTTTCTTTACATGAACATTACTTTTTCCATTTGATACATGATGATAATAGTGATATGGATGGAGTGGCAGCAGCTGTGTGTGGTTCACATCACCCCATGACATTTGCTTTGCTGGGATAGGCACACCACTCTTCTCCTCATGATTAGTCTTGCTGATGCATAGGTGATAAAGGGATCAAGAGTGGATTAATGTGATTATATGCACATTGTTAGCTGTCATAGCCATGTAAATATGACAAAATTGAAGGTGCGTGTAGACCCCAATTTGAGGCTGGAATTTGCCAATCTTTAGGGCTTGCTGTTGCAGCACCTGGTTAAAACTTGGAATTAGAGGGATTCTGTACTGCATAAGACCATCACATACATGTAAAACCACAAGCTCGAGTAATCTCAAAAGTTCTCCTCAAGTGCATGATTGTACTACTAACACTACATAATATTACAAGGGCAACCAAAACAGTCCCAACAGGGATGGAGGAGTGCTTCATTTAGGTTGCAGGATGAGTTGCTCCATCCCATATACTGTAAGTAAGTACTGTACATTATGTCAGCAGCCAACTTTTGGTTCACATTGAAGCTCTAGGTGTTGACATCAAAAATCCAAAACTTTTCAAATATAAAGTATCAAATATTATCAAATCCTTACAAAACAAGTGCTAAACACATAAAGCAGACAAGTTGCTACAACTAGCCCACTTACTCTGACCTACAACTAGGCAACTAGGTTATAAGCAGGGAAAACTATAATTTTGAGAGAACACAAAGTCATGGTATGCAGTTTTCAAAGGCTTGCAAGTTATAAATGTATTGGCTCCTTTTGCAGCTTGTTCCATCAGATAGCACTTAACCCTTTAACTCCCAAGATCTAATTAGCAATTTCTCCTCACTGTCTGCCATACAGTTCTTGTGATGTTAGTTTGGAGAATTTGGTATTGAGTCAACTTATAATCACCTAACTGATATTTTTCTTCATTCTCCATCACTTGTCCACTTGATATTGTATTGATATTGTAGGGAGAAATTCTGTCTTGGTCACTAATGGGAGTAAAAGGGTTAATCAAATATCATACCTTCACAATCATTGTTCCTTGATGATAGAAAATCTGCATCAAATTTCCTTTTTCTAACAATGCCAGGCCTCTTTGATTTAGGAGTAACTGCAACAACATGTTGAAGAAATTTTTAAGACAATGTCTCCCTTGTAAAGCTACATGAATCACATTATTATTTGGCAATTATATTTTTGTTTTGCAAGGTGTGCAAGTATTCACCAGACTGAAAAGGGCTATACTGCGTGTCACAATAAAATGAAAAGGAAATGAGCTGAATTGAAGTAAAATCTACCTAATTATAACTGAGAGAACATTTTAAGAAATCTTCAAGTGACCTTACAATTTTATTAAAGGGACCAAATTGTGTATGGCTCCCAACAACATTTTCAATATGCACACAGCTAATTAATAATAATTAATATAACTGAGTAATGAAGCTGTGTGCATATTGAAAATGTTGTTGAGAGCCATAAAATTAAAATTATTTTAATTTTGTTTTGTGTTTGCTTCAAAAAAGTTGTATGTCCAGGAAGAAACTGAGAACCAGAACCAAGATGTTTCACAAAATGAGCTACCAATTATTAAAAAGAATTTGGTTTGGTGGTTTGATTTGCTTGCAGTTAATTCCATTGCTTAGTACCAGTAGTAATAGTAAAACATGAATGAATTTTTGACCCAAAGCACATACCAATTGGCTGGGTAATTTAAAAAAGAAATCCACTGTTAAATTGACAACTGTCCTGGTTTTTTTCCCTCTCTTTTGTTTTGTTTTGTCTTTTTTGAGGGATTAAGGCATAACACACCACTCAAAATTCACTGTCACTCTGAATATACTCTAAAAATAATGTAAGGCATTTTAAAGCAAGCATGACTTAATCAAACTCTACATGATAGATACATGTACCTGTTTATTGTCCTGGTTGCATTATCAGGCAATTTACTGCACTTCCCAGATCACACTCCAGCGTCAAGCATTTGAACACAAGCTCATCAATGTACTGCTCTTGCATCAAGTATCTGACAGAATCCAGGAAAAACTTGTAAATTTATAGTCATAACAGCACTGCAACAACTGTCAATCAATACTAAAAAAATTGCACACTACAATCAAGAGCAAAAAAGATTTAATAAAAAGATCAAATCATTGTTGAGAACAGTTCAAACCAGTCAATCTTTGAGTTGTTAATTACTACATTAGTACATCAGAGTGATTGGAATTGCTCCGATGAAGGGCTAACGCTGGAAACGTCAGCTTTTTTACCCTTTACGCTGGCTAATTTACGTTTTCAACTCAGTTGTTAACACTAAATTACCTACTATACTCTCCCACCGACACAGCACCACAGTTTCTTTAGAAACTTACCCCCTTTATTCATTACTGCAGCTGAGTTACCCTATATAAAAAAGCTATTACATACTAAAACTGTACTTTTTGTTATTGCCTTCTGCAACAGTATATATTTGCAAGCTGTATCATAAGAAACATATTCAAAAACACACTGCAAATTAATCTTTGAACCAATATTTAGAAGGGGCAAAATTATATAAGTTGTGCCTACATGTACATGTACATGTACATGTACATGTACATGCCCTTGACTCTGTATGGTTGTTATTTTTGGTAGGCATGCAATACACCACACTTTTCTACCATTAAATTTATTACTGTATTAACCCATGCAAGATGTTAGGAAAAAATGAGGAGAGATGGAAAATCACTGGCCTGTAAAGCTTCAATGACATAGGTTCATCATTACAGGTACAATAAACAATAGATTTTCAACCACTCTCTTTTTCTCAAAATTAGTTTTAACAATACCTACATTTCTGCAGAGCCCCTTCTTTTACTACTGATCAAGGAGGTCAGCTCTGTCTCTTTGTAAAGAAAAATGAATTTTGGAAAGGGAAGTAATGGTGCACATTGTCATGGCAGCTCAATGAACGATCACAAACTTGCAAGTTATGCCGCCAACAAGGTCGCTAACATATGCTAGGATTGCTGTGGAATTAGATTGCATGCCTGGTTTGCTAGTGTGCAAACTTATCACCTAGAACCTTTCAATAAAACACCTTCATGTCAACAATGTTTGATACAACGCTGAAACAAACATGACTTTGCGGACAAAGCCGTGTCACTCTTTGAATCTTAACGAATCCAAGAGCGTGCCATTCTATTCAAAAGCTGATCGGTTTTGCACCTTATTTCACCTTTAAATTGCAAAATTTGATTCTAGGAAGCTACAATTGAAAGAATGTAATTATCCTGCGCCATTACAGCCCACAAGTGCTCTGTTTTGCGAATTGCTAGAGGTAAAGTTTACTCCAGTCACGTAAACTTTACCCAGTGCAAAACAAAGTGCTCTGATTGGTCCATTCAGGTAATATTTACCCTTATCTGGTAAACATTTTCCGTGCATATTGTTTTTGGTAAGGGCACAATGTTTCCAACACGTGTTATAACTGGTTTTAACCCTTAATAAGGAATAAGAGAGGGCTACTTTGGCCAGTTACCATGGTGATATAAGTAACCAGGGAGAAAGGAACAGCTTTACCTGACAGGGGTCCAGAAGAAATAAATACAATGGGCGTGTGCTTGTTGTATCATCATCCTTCGGTGATCTGTTGAAACAAAATAGGTTATGATGACCAAGTATATTCATTGAAACAGCCACTGAGGCCATGACTGTCCAGGAGAGAAAGAATCTTCCACAGATTTTGGGAAACAAACACCACAAAATACATAGTGACAAATTTTGGTAGAAAGAAATGGAGCAAAATGTTCAAAGAGAATTTACCGTAGTTTCTTGGCTCTAAGGCACATGGTTTTTACAAGAAAATTCTTTCCTCGGTTGGAAAGTTAATGCTGAAATTGAGGTGCATCTTATAGCCAAGTATTTTTGCACAACAAAATCTTGATATCACAATTTTAGCAGAACTTATACTGTAGTTAAAAAGACAAGAAAAGGACACTAACTGTTGAGAGAAAAGAAAAAGCAGAGCTTTTTGGTCTGAGGTGTAGCGAAGATTACATCAAATTCAAACTTTTATTCCTATGAATTAAAAATGAATACTGCTTTTAGAACACTTAAATCAACTTCTATAGAAAAGCAAACAAGTGGAAATTTGCACACGTGCTCGGTAACATGATATCCAACTCAGGTCTTTTGGTTTGTAGTGTTGCAAGGATGCACACTTTGCTGTCATCAGCAGCCCACCAGAAAACAGGACATGTTGCTGGTTGCATCATTTTCTCACCATGGATTCTGAAATGCCATATTCATGGGCAATTTCACGATTGTTGTTGACTGCCTCAGCTTTGGCAACAATTTTCAACTTGAAGTTGAGGTCATATCAGTGATGGTGAGTGCTTAGCATATTTGCAATCGAACAAGAAGTTGAAGTTAAACTCTGACTGTTTAGGATGAGAACGCATCAGTTAGTTTTACAACTGAGTTTTAAATCAGTTGGTTGATGTTTAACCCTTTAACTCCCATGGGTGACCAAGACAGAATTTCTCCTTAAAATATTTATACAATAGCAACTAGATAAGTGATGAGATTAAAGGAAAAGATCAATTTGGGGATAATTACTTGATCCAAAACAAAATTCTCTGAATGAACATTGTAAGAATTGTATGGTTGATGGTAAGGAGAATTACAAATTGGATCTGGGAGTTAAAGGGTTAATAGAATGAAATCAGGATCATTGAATATTCATAATCAGGTGTGAAATTTTAGCCTTGGTTTTTATGTAGATCATTAAATGTGTGACTTTTTCACTTTTATTTACATTTTAACAAAAGAGTTTGCATGCCAGTTGTGTAGGAATAATTGTTCTCAGTTCCATTAAATCCTTTTGTTAACTCTCATCCTTTTGGTGCATCTTATAACCAAGTATTTTCACGTAATTTTCAGTCTGGGAACTTGGCTTGACTAAGTTATTAAGTTTGAGGTGCATCTTAGAACCAAGTTCGCCTTATAACCGAGAAACTATGGAAAAGTTATTGAAAGCAAAATGTTCAGAGAGAATTTATAGTTAAAAGCTTCAAAAAGCCAGTGAAAATTACCCTTAAGTTTATATTGTCACTTATTGTCCACAATCCACAATGTGAAATCTTCATAATGCTAACTCATGCAGTTGCATGTAATCCATACAACATTTTAAAGGAATCCTGTTCAGGTAATAACTTTTCAAAACAATTTGGTGATAATAAGCACAAGTAAATTTTTCAAAGACAACATAATTGCAAGAGTGCATAAGGCAAGTGCAATTTGTACATGTGTAGCACTTATTCACAATTTTAACAGCATACTATTTATAACATGCACTTGTGTTACAACTTTGCACTTGTGCTGTGTGAAAAATGCACTTGTTTTCAGCCTATCAGAAGTGTCTAATTTTTTTGTGTTTATTATCATGCATTTAATTGAACTTTATTTGACCACTCACAATGAAGTCTTTAAGAGTGGAAAGACTTACAAACAAAGGGGATACTTACTTGATAGTCTCAATGAAATTGTTTTCTTCACAGTCTTCCAACACAATAAGAGCCATCCTCATGGAGGCACATAACTGTGAAGCCGATGCAATGCTTGATTCCTAATGTTAACAGTAAATCCTTATGGCCTCCAGCTTCTTGATGATGATTGTTGTTGAATCTGAACTTTTTGCTGAGGACACATACAGGCATGCTCCCTTTCCACTTTCCTTTTCCTGTAATTAAAGTTGGCCATATTAATGCAACACTTTTAAAATTAAATTCACCAAACCTGACTGCGTATTAAATAGTAGGAAACGCTCCTTGTTCACAATCACTCTTGGTTTTTTTCACGATGGCCATATAGAACTAACAGCTAACATGCAAATGGTGTATTTCTTACGAGTTTGTCCACGACGATAATCGACCTCTCGAGGAAGGCATGGTTTGTTTACCCACGAAGAGCTTTCTCTCTGTTTAGCACGAGCAAGATTTTTAAAGTAAGAGTACTGAAACTTTTAAAGGATCGTATCGCAGGATGAAATCAAATGATAAAACATACAGACTCACCTCGGCGCTCTTTGCAGTTGTGTCAGAATCCTCACTCTTACTTTCGACCATTGTTTAATTGAAGCGGCAGATTGTGATATGATGTTGGACTTCATCCTCTGAAGGCACTGAAGTTCTTAAACCTTTTCGCCTTTTTGCTTTGTACTAAAATACAGCCTGTCGAAAACTCTCGCTCTTCTTGCCAGCGCCATCGCTCGCGACAATCATCCACGTGGTCTTTCTTCCGTGATCTAATAGATATTTTACCCAGTTCTCACCTAATCGTACCATTTTGGTACGCAGTCGAGCCAATATACCCCTGGCGATAACAAACGAGCCTGACTTGGTGCCGAAGCGTACCATGAAGGTACGTCTAGTGATTCACTCTTTCTAAATTCAGTAAAATCTCCAGTGATGTTATTTTGAAGTTACGGCGATGAAATACGTCAGGCATTTATGGAGTGGCCGTGAGAAGAATAGTACGAGTCAACAAACGGCGCGAAAAGATGACAAGGGTCGCAAGCACATGAGGAAGATATTTTCAGATTGAGTGTTACAATACACAACAAACAAAGTGATAACTTGTGGTTGAAAAACAAGACTATCACCTTTTATGCCGATAAGAACTGTTTTACAAACCTCATCACGTGGAAACGAACACACAGAAAGCTAAAAAATGCAAATTATTTTCAGGTTTCAAATCAGTTCGTCTCATTAGTTTTTAAAACTTTCAGCTGGAGGAATCAGAGTTGAAGAAAAATACCACCAGCACTGGAACTCAAGGAATTCTGCGGACTGCGATCTGGTCGTGTTTAAAACTTCTGTCGGAATGATTTCCAAATTTTTTTTATTCCCAGCAAACTCGCCCCGTTGATTGTTGTTCAGTGTAGATGGTTCAAGTTCTTCTCTCCACGCTGCGCGTGTTTCTCAGTGAAAATGCTTCAGAATCTGACAGTTATTGTTTCGAGTAAACTCCGTCAATTAATTCTCGTCCTCAACAACATCGCTTTTTTCAAGCCAATTATTTGCCACGTATGTCGTGCAAATTGCGTTGACATGCTTGTATTAAGACTACTTTTGTCTTCAACACTTTTTTCGAGTTCCTCAATGAAGTCTTTTTTAACTCCCTTTCTGGGAGGTTTTTTAGCTCAAAATACAACGCAAATTTAAGAACTCCGACTCCATCGATTCAACGTCAGCTAATGTCAATGTTTCAGCACTCTTCGACAAACATGCAATTTAATAGCGAGTAGGAGTGCTCTCAAGTCTAGTTATGGCGGCAATATTTATCTATACATATATTTTTTTTCCAACCTGTAAACACCAGCTAAACTCAAATAATGAAGTTTTGCACTAAGTCTTGCAGTCATAAAACCTACATTTAATTCATCTTACTGCAACATTCTTTATTATTGAAAGTGCGGTGTTTTGCAAGGTTTTCCAGCCCTGAGAAGAGCCATAAAATGACGAGAATTTTTACGTGTGTTTGATATTTCCAATCAGTTCCTGAACGTCACTCGCCTTTCGCGCCGCCGTTTGACACTAAAAAATCTTTTATTGAAAGACAAGCAATCGCAAATTCTAAAGAACAAACGTGCCAGGTGATACATACAGTGTCAAATGCTACGTCCGTTCAAGCGGACACAATTCGGCGAAGTCTAAATATCAACACAAAGTTGCATCCGCCAAATTCTGCTGTTGGACGGAAATCGAAAGAAATTTCAATAACATGCAATCATGATCGTTCGTACCCTTCGCCAAAAACTTCGGAGAATGCTGCTGTGGACGACGAGTACAGCTGGTATTTGCATTTCAGTGTCTTTATTCCCCATCAGTGTCACTAAAATAATAGCCATTTATGCGGAGCAAATGTCCCCCGACTCTTCTTTTCATTTCGGTGCCGGACCCGGAGAGGACTACGAAGAAACCCGACGAGCCGATGGTGCCAAAGATCTCTGTCGTAGCTATGGGGGCCAATGAAGACCTGCAATCCGAAGGAGGTCGTTATTTTCCATCAAGGTCAGCGCTGTCTAGCCGGTGCAACAGTGCTTCAAGTACCACCTCGAATCGTAGATTTCAGTCGGCTGAAAAACAGTTGCATCATATTTATCAGGGAAAAGATCTCTTTCAACGCTCAAAGTACAGGATGTAGATTTCTGATTAGTACGTGGCCTGTCCAGCGAAAGCTTGACAGGACGGGACAAAGACAGTTTTTGAGTCTCAAGTGGCTGCTTAATTTAAGCAGCTATTTTCATTCATTTATAAACCAACCAAAGTTATTCAGCTCACTAAACAATACACTCATTTTCATACGGAGTTTTTGTTTCTCACAAATTTGATGCACCGATTAGCTTTCCAATTAGGATACATGGTAGTTTGTAAGAAAGAAGACTTGCATCATTTTTTTTTTTCACTGTATAATAAGTTGGGCTTATGAATTGTTCGAGACATATCAAGGAACAACTCTAGCTAAAAGAAAACCAGTGATGCAGATCATAAGACTCACGCCACACTGTTAACCTACGGTCTAAGATAAAACGAACTCTCTTTTTCCTTATGCCGCGGTAACTTCGGCTGATTATTACTTTGGTTTTGAGTCGCGCTACGAAGTACAGTCAAACCTGCATTATGAGGTCAGCCATGGGGAATAGCGAGGCGAAAGTCCCAAAACCTGGATATTAAAAAAACGACAAAAAAGGCACTTCATACCGTAAATTGACCACCAACACTCGCTCAAAAATAGTGTTAACATCGACTTTGAGTAGTTAAACTTTAAGTGATCGCTTTAAGTGATCGCTCAATACAGGTGAGAGACAAAACAAACCGGCCGTCATCTCGTTCCCACACTTTCCGCTACTTCTTTTGTTCAAATTTGCGGGGGAATGGAAACCTACTTCTGTTCGATTTTGTGGGGGAGTGGAAACCAGACAGTGAAGTCCAGGGAGTAAGAGATAATTACACGCAAACTTTTGAAGTGATACCTTTCAATTTTTCCTGCTTAATTACCTCAAGTATGATCCTTGTAATATAAATTCTATGAAGCCTTCATGAGGTTTCGGCAGTCAGCCGCGTGACCTGAAAATCGTTCATGGGATCGATCTTGAGGCCAGAATTCGTTTGCAGGACTTCTCAATTATTTTACCGCAAGCAAAATAAAAAATTTTGCCGTGTATCTTATCATGGTTTGTGGCAAGCAGTTCTGTTTAAGAAATAAGAAAAAAAAAATGAAAAGAAGTGCCATGTGTGAGGATCGAACTCACGACCTCAATCTGCAACGGAGCACGAGACTTACGCGCTGCCTACTGCGCCAACGAGGCACCAACGTAAATCTGCGGTAATAAATATATACTTAAACATTTTTTAATTTTTTTTTCCCACGAGTCCACCAAACCCAAAAACTATATCAGTTTATTAATACGGGTTCCTCGTTGCTTCTTCCCAAAAGAAAATACGAGACAAACTCTGCGACATATATTAGCGCTTACAATATATATATATATATATATCTCTCTCTTGGTGGCAGTAGTAACATTAAGCCAGGGATTGTCACTGACTCTAGGAGACAACAGTGCATGATCTTCATTCAAAATTTATGGAGATACAAGAAAGCTTGTTGATGGAATCTTTACATTCAACTTCTCCTACCATTTCTGTGCTTGAATTTCAACCTTTCCCTGGAGCTCACGTCCCGTATTATTGGTTGATCAGTCAACTGACAATCTGATTCAACTTATTTTGAACAATCCTGCAGCAACTGAATTGATTTCCAGCATCAAAGGTGATTTTCCAGTTATAAGATACTCTTTACACTATTGAACTCCAGGATGGTTCAATTATTAGAAGACAAAAAAGTGAGAGCTAAAATTTTATGATTTTTTTTTAATTAGATACTAAATGGCTTGACAACAAATTATGAAACACTTTACACCTTTGTAACATTCTCACTGGGTTTCACTCCTGTGATACTTTTTTCTTATATTTTTGTGCAAGCTTCTACAAAATTTTAACTTAAATCGTAGGTTAACAACAAAGGTGAATAAATAAAGGAGCCAGATGAAAATACATTATCTGACCTGTGCACTTGATATATGTGTGCAGTGGAGTAAATACGATTAGTGGCGTCGCATTGTAAAAACAATTAAGCCACCTACTAAATAACATGCAAGGACTAAAGTCAATAAATAATGAGTAATAGATGCAACTGAATGCTGAGTAGATAGTTAAATCATGTTTATAAGTACTAATAAACCTAATCATATTGAAATAAAATCAGTTGCAGAAACTTCTGACGACACTGGAAGCGCAACACGGCCGTAAATATGCTTTCACGATTATCTATTTAGCATACCATACTAACTTCCTTTCTCCTGTAGCTGTTTGTACTTGTCTACGACAACTCAGACTATCAAAAATTGAAAACAAACATTGCGGGCACGCACTAGTCACTGTAATACCTTATATGAGTTATCCTCTAATGCTCTTGGTTAAATAAATGCGTCATTTTAATGATATAACGGTATGTAACCTTTCTATTACTAAAACGATAACTAGAACTAAAAAACACTTGATGAGTCAATGCTAGCAATTACAGACGTGTATCCAGTACCGCATCATCTTCTTCGTAATCTCCTGTTGAATAACAAAGCAACTCATTATCATGATACTTTAGTTAACATTGTCGCCTAAAACAAATAACCAAGAGTTTTGGAGTAATGAAGATATATTTCTTCTACCCAGACTGATAAACGAGAAATTAATGCTCCAAAACTTTGAATTTTGGCGAAAATGGAGGGTGGCAAAACATACCTTCGTCTGCAATCAGCTGCTGCTGTCGTGAAGATTTATCTTCCGCGGACTCATCAGCCTGCTGTGGGGAGTCCCCACATGCTCCTTTTGACTTCTCGTCTTCCAGTTGCTTTTGGTTGGGTTTTTCATACTCTCCTTTTGGCTTTTCAGTTTCCAGTTGCTCTTGTTTAGGTTCCTGATTCTCTCCTTTTCGTTTTTCTTGCTGCAGTTGGTCTTTCATAGGTTCTTCATGGTCTTCTTTTGGTTGTTCATAATCCAGTTGCTCTTTCTTAGAATCTTCATCGTCTCCTTTTGGCTTTTCTTGTCCAATTTTCTCGAGTTTAGGATCCTTATGGTCTTGTTCTCGTTCTTCTTGATCACAATTAATTTGCTGCTTTTCGGTTTCTTCAGGGTGTTCTTCTTTCTCCTGCTCATCTTGTTCATTTTCCTCTTGTTGCTGTTCACTTTCGTTTTCATTTCTTTTCGACTTGTTCTTCTCTTTACTTGCATCCTTTAGCTCATCAGGCCCTGCATGGTCGACGTTCGGTTCTTTTTCTTCTTGTTGTTGAGTGCCCTGTTGTTTGGATTCCTGGTCGTCTCCTTTCAGCTTTCGCTCAGGTTTTTCATCGGCTTCATTTAGCTCCTGTTTTTCTCGTTGCGTCTCACTTACTTCTTTGTTT